AAAAGTGACATTTTACCTCTCCTTAACCATGTTTCAGCTGCATTTCAAATATACATAAAATTTACTTCTTTAGGTAAAAAATCAGATATCAAAAACTTGGACCCAAGTTCAGCAAAGTTTGTTTCCTATCTTCTTGTGGAATATTGGGATCATTTGGGAGCTGGACTAAGAGCTAAGTGCTTTCAGAGCTGGAGAGAGCTGCAATTCAAATATTTTTAGCAGTAAATTTACCTCGATGGAGATTTGATTCTCCATTCAATGCTGAAATATTTTGTGCATTTGCATATTAAAGAATACCAATATGCCTCAGCTTATAGATCTCTAGAAAATAAAATAGAAAGGTACTAATTATACTATGAACTAAATATATATATATATTAAATATTTGCCATTTTACCTAATGAGAGGCCTCATTTTTAGCATTGCAAGGATCTCAAATGAAAAAGCAAGACTCAGAATTATTTGCACTTCAGGCAGAATTTGACTGAAATGGTAAAGATCAGGTTGATTTTCACATGAGCAGTTGATCCTACAAAGGCTTATGAACATGATGACCCAGTGCAAGTAATTCTTGGGATTTACCAAGGTCATTCACAGTGCAAAGTCTGCACTAAAGACATGACTCCCTTTGGTTATGCCAGCAGAGAAATGGAATGCCCTTCTCATGTGGAGAGTTATATCAATATTGAAGTCTCACAACAGCATCCTACACTGAGACTCAGCAGAACCAACTAAGCTACACAAAGTACCTTGTATGGCACGAGCAGAAGATGAATATTTGCATCACAGCTTCACTGGCTTAGCCATGTCAATGAAAAAAAAATTAAAAATGTAAATCACCTCAAGCATTTAAATCACTTTTCTAAAGCACGTGAAAAAAAAACCCCACAACAGAAGATAATGCCCTGAAAGAGACTATTTGCCTGAAGAGTTTCACCCTCAAACAGATCTAGGACCAAGCACAGGCAGGGTTCAGGGCCAACCTCAGCACAAGGCTGTGGGAGGCAGTTGGGTATGGAAGAGCTTAAAACCCCAGTGTGGCAGCCAGGATGTTTTCCTGCCTGCAGTACCTCACCTCTGCTTTTCAAACCCATCATCAGTGGATTTTAATGTCTCTTGACAAAAGCCAGCAGGAGTGAGCAGAGACAAAAGCGTGGCTGTGAGCTTTCTCCCAAGAGAGACACCCTTCCATGGGCATGGAGCAGTCGTGGCAGCTCTGCTGCCCTGCCTGGGAGAGACTGAGATCAAAATGAGACCGAAAAAAATAACCATGAAACCAGAAATCCCTTACATGTGTATCTCAGGACAGTGACTGAGGAGGAACTGAGCAGAGCACTGAGGAACCAGGTCCCGTGTTGTTATTACACTCCCTGTGGAGAAAGGCACAGGGCTGCACAACACCGTGTCCCAGCAGCCCCATAATAAAGACATTAAAGGTTAATTTATCATTCCTGGACAGCACCAACAGTTACACAAACCCTCCGCCAGTCCCAAACCAGGCTGAGGCTCCAGCATGGGGACACACACAGAAGTGCTCCCCTATCAGCTGCCCACAGCCCCCTTTCTTCCAGTCCCAGCACCCACAGGATTCGTGGGGTTCTGGGGTTGTTTTCCTCTCTCTGTTCAGGAGCTTTAGCCTTATCAAAAGATCTGCCATGAAAACTGAGCAGCAGGTCACATGTAACAGCAACACACACAAAAACAATGATTCTTCTATTTACAGTCAACTATATGCAATGTCTTGCAGCAAAACACAGAAAGAAGCATCAAGAAGTTGGAGGTGGGTCTTGCAGTGAATTAGGAGCAGGTGGAACTGCAATGGCTCACAAGGAAATCAGGATCACTAAATCACACAAGACTAAGGTTGACAATGTCATTATGAATCCAAAAATAAGCACCACTGCAATGCCTTTCCCTGTTTTGTGAAGTGGACCTAAAATGGTTTTCATGTCAAAACACTCACACAAGTGAAACATTTATTAGTGCAGCTGCCACGTTAAGAGGAACTGACACTACTATCTATAGCAGCAACACACGAGGAAAAAAGAGCCTGACATTTAGCAGGAGATTGCTAAAGACATTTCTAGGAGTCTTTAGTACAGCTGAGGCTGGGAGTGTTAATTTCCATAATGCCATGTTGTTGTCATTAATGAATGTGCTAATGATCTTGTAATTCTTCATTTAGAGTGATAATTGCTGATTAGTACCTTTGGGAATGGAGATAAAATGATTTATACCATCTTCCAGTCTAGCTTGGGGTTCTGAAGTTTGCACCTGGGAGGAACATTCCAGTTCTGGACAGATGCATAAATCCAAACCCAATTGTTCTGAGAGTCCCTCTTCCCATAGTTTACATTCAGCTGTGAGGTAGGGAGGAGAGAAGGCATAGGAGAGAAGGCAGTGAGATTTCCCCTTAAAAAATCTGGTACATGTTCTCCACTGTTCATTTAGAACAGCAGAAGGCAGAAGAGCCCTTTCCAGGACAGAAGAAGGAGTATCACAAAAGCATAACTGGATATATACAGCTGCTGCAACCATCACACAGCAGCAAAAGATACATATATATATATATACATATATATATATGTACCCACACAAATATATACATACAAATACAGATGTGTGTATGGATATATACGAAATTCCTTTATAAAACAAATTCTTTAGGGCAATAGCTTTCAATCAGTGGTCCCTGATTCCTAAAGATGAAATTGGATTACTTTAAATGGTCCATAAACATATTCAAGCAAAATGTGCTTCTTGCCAGCAGGCTTAAATCAGATTCATGTCACTGCTAGAAAGTTATTCTAGGCCTAAAAGGAAATGGCTGAAATCCACTGTTCTAAGAAATTCCAGCCATAATAAGCTCTAATCTTCAGTTAATTCCAAAGGATTCTATTACACTGAACCGTCTGGCAAATGGCATTTATTTTGGTTCCCTTTTAAACAGGGTAGTGTGCATTAATATAGACTTATTAATACTATGACCTCTGGATGTTATCTTAAATAAGAACATTAGAAGTTTTTCTTTGGGTTGCCTGGCTGGTTTTGCTGTTGCATTTTAGTTCCTTTATGGAATTTGGAAGCTGCATTGCCAGTTATGGCTGTGCAAACAGCACTGAGGACAAATAGAATGTGCTCTAGTTAAACATAAATCACTTCAGTGTATCTTTTACCTATAATGTAATTTAATTGTTGGGAAAATCAATTCACAGCTGTTTTATTGTGCTTCTATGTAAATAAATACCTAGGAGCTACAAATACCCATTCTGATAGCTGTGGAAAGTATTAACATTAAAATTAACACTGCTATTCCTCCCTTCCTGACACAGGTAGAAATGGATTTGAAAAAACATCACTTAATAAATAAAGGTTTTCCCCTTCTCAGTTAGAATTTGGCTACACAAACCTGTGCATGGTCACGGATCAGAAGATTTCCACCTGGGCAGCATGGAAGGAGCATGGGAGAGAGGGAAAGAGGAAAGAATCAACCAGAGAAATTTTTACTTGACTTCTGTCCCACTTGTGGCTGACCTGCCTTGAAGTCTCCTGGCCAGCAGCTCCTTCCTCCTCTCCCTCTCTCCTGCCCATGCCTGAGAGAAAAAGGAGTGAGAACAAGTAGCTGCAGGTAGGCAGGAAAATTACAATAACAACATGCTGTAATTTTTCATCAGGGCTTTAAGTGTTTCTAGCACTGCTCTGCCCTCTGGCAATATAGTAGTTAAAATCAGCATTTAGAAATTATACTGAGGCTTTTGTTCAAAGTTCCAGAGATTCTGTGAACAAACTGTGTTGAAAAGGGACTCCCCCCCAAGCCATGGCCCCCTGTGGGGACAAACCTTCCCACCCAGGGTCTCTGATTAAGAACTCAACACAAACCAGGTTTGGTTAGGAACTAAAGCATAACTTCCATCCAGCACTAACTGCACTCACTGCTTTTATACAGCTCAGGCCAATCTGCTCTGGTAATGCCAATTCAGTAATTACAATTACCCAAGCTGCATAAAGGATTTTTAGCCCAGAATAAAAAAGTTCACACAGAAAAGGAAAAAATTCAGCAGAATTTGGGATTCATCCCCTTATAAACAAGCCTCGAACAAAACAATAATTGGGGTTTGAATACTGCAGAAGCTTTAGCATTTTCTCTCTGATACACAGAGGCTTCTTTCCTTAACAGTGCCAGTTCCAGGACATGGAGTGCACAGATCTCAGTTATATGCTCCTTTTCAATATGTGCTACAGCCACCCCCCACCTCCCCCAGTATTTCTATAGGCTGTGATGATGTCCTAAAAAAATGTAGCATGTTCAGTTAACATATAAAGGACTCATCTTCCTGCTGTCTCGTCCTTCTCTTGAGGTCCCATCTCCTAGAGTAGAGTGTTACATGACATTCAGCTTTCATAGAAAGAAGAGAATAGTTACTGGTCCTTGATCAGAAAAAAAAAGAAGAAAACAGTCTAAACTCAAAATATATTCCTATTTAGTAAACGTTTCACAATTCACATTGCATTTTATGCCTTTTTTGACTCCTGACTTATTATTTTGGAATGATTAAGGATGAGAATATTGTTGGTAAACAGCACCTTTCCCTTTTGAAAGCTGTGAAGCACCTACAATTCAGACTGTAAACTCCCCTGGGAGAAAGTACCATCTTCCAAAGATGTATTGTGTGCTGTGTATAACTGGTACTCAGCAAAAACTGTTAATCTCTCCATTCTGCCTTCATAATTGTATTCTATCACTGTAAGGAAAGAGAACCTCTTCCTACCCAGTGCTTGTATTTCAGCATGAAGAACAGGCACTGTTCTCTGTTCTGAATAATTTAAAATCCAACTAAAAAGTTCTATTTACACTGACCTGGTGAAACAAAGTTCAGTAAAGAGTCTTTTTGGCTCCTTTTCCAATGACTGTATTTCTTGGTCTGTGCATCCCCCTTGCATAAAGTCCCTGGTAGAGCACGTGCAAAGGGTCTATGGCCAATAAAACCTGCATTCACACGAAGTCTGTGTGACATGAACACATTTGGATAGATGTTGGATCATCTATTTGGCCCTTTCCATTTTGGTGCCTGTGCTGCTGTTTGCCTGGCATATAAAAATGCCTATAAGGGACTGTTTTCTGTTGAAACTCAAGAACTAGATATTTTCCATATCTAATGTCCACAATCCTAAAGAGCTCCTAAATATTAGGAAAACAACTGACTGACCATAAAGATGAACCAGACTTCTAAGCAGTCACCTCTGAATAAAAATCATTAAAATCAAACTGGAGAGGTAACATTTCCATAGGCACAGGCACATAAAGGCCTGGAAAAATAAGATAACCATGCCCCCGTGGCCTGGCTGCATTAGGAGACAGTGCCAAAGCCTCTGGAGGTGATAGGTGGTTAGAAGCTATTCATGAAGATCTTTTCATGCATGTTTAGATTTGATTTATCTACCTGTTATTTACCTTCAGGAAGGTTAAAAAAATCAAACACTGCACAGTAAAGACCAAACCAAAAAGTCCCTGTCAGTCATTCCTTAGCAAACATAAGGGTGTGGAGATGGAAAAGCAATGCCAGAAGGAGGGACAAGAAATGAGCTGCCTCGTTCTTCAGCTGGACAGGATGACCAGACTACTTTAGAATCCTGCCCCATCCATAAAGAAAAGGTTGCAATAAAGACTTCAATGCTGATGATTAAACCTTAGAGGGGAACTGAGACACCGAAAGTTCAAGAGAGAAGAGAAAGATGAGATGAACAACCGTATGAAAACTCTTAGAGTCACAGATTAGCCACATTCAAGCTAAGAATTGCCTTTGTTCAGTACCGCTCATTGGATCACTACACCTGGCAGGCAAATTTAAAGCATGTAAGCAGACTGCACAGCAACCAGCATGCTAAGAACCACCCTGCCCTTTTTATCTGAGTGCACATATATTGATTGCATAGATATACAGACCCACAGACACTTTTTCCCAGGCTTTGTTCCAACTTGCTGTCTTTTCACAGCTAGTCCTTAGAAGCACTGGTCCCACCGTGTCCCTGGGTGCCCAATGCAAAGTCCACAGCCTGGTGCACACTGTGGAAGAGAAGGTGGTCCTCCCCCTCTTTAAAGAATTCCCCTCGGATCAGGGAACTCCTCACTGAAGGATTGCACTGGGCCAGGAGCACATGGACATCTATCTCCTTGTAGTCCTTGCAGACCTCCTTGAGTGTGCATATTCCTGCCGTGTCCAAAAACTGCACTGCACAACAGTCAATCACTATTGTGTGAAACTCCAGAGGTTCAGTCACAAAATCCATGGAGATGCTGGTCTGGTTGTCACCAGAACCCATCTTTTTCTCCCTAAGCATTCTTTTTGCTGCCTTTTTCTTTGCTGCCTTCACCCAGACTGGGTTGACCCCAGTTTGTTTGTACAGGGTGGATTTGAAGCACTCCTTGTTGATGTAGTAGAGCGGGGCTTCGAAACGGAACACCACGATCCCTGGCTTGGTTTGCAGGTTCTTGTAAGCAGACAGGGACTCGTAGGTCTCGGACTCTGCCACCCAGCCAAGCAGAGGTGCCTCCGGCCTCTGAGTTCGGAAGATGACGCAGAGCATGGAGAAGCAAACGCCAACCAAAAGACCGATCTCGGTGCTGATGAGTGCTGTGGCTGCCATGGTAACTCCCCAGATCACTGTGTCCACTCTGCTCAAGTGCCACATTTTCGGCAGGTCCCTGAACTTCCGCAGGGCTCCTCTGAGGTTCACGATGGTTATGACAGCAAGGACACATTTCTGAAGGGAGTAAAATAAAGGTGCAATCACAAGGAGGACTAACAGGATTACCAAACTAGTCACCATGCCAGAGACTTGCGTCCTACAGCCTGTGGACTCCTTGACAAGAGTCTTGGCAAGAGCTGCGCTGGTTGTGAAGCAATGGAAGAAGGAAGGAATGATGTTGCAGAAGCCAATGGCATACATTTCCTGGTTGGCCCTCACAGAGTAACCATGCTTCTTGGCAAACATCTCCGAGAGGGAGACCGTGATGGCAAAGCCAATGACAGCGATGGCAACAGCATCCAAAGCCAAATTGGGAATGAGGGTCCAATCTGGAGAGCGAGGTGGCAGAAACCCAGTTGGGATGTGCCCAGAAATGCTCGAGCCATAAGTCTCTTTCAGTTTCCCAAAGTGAGATGCCAGAGTAGCTGCCACAACCACAACCAGTTCAACTGGTATCGGAGCCTTGAGCTTGGATTTAAAACGTTCATTAAGCTCTTTGGCTGGGACAAGCACAAGAAAGCACAAGAAGCTGGTGATGAGATCACAGATGTTGGTCTTGTGTATGTTTTTGAAGATGTTTATCCAGGTGACTATGAGAGAGCCGACGCCTCCGCTCCGTGGGATGTCCAGGCCCAGGAGATACTTGACTTGTGAGGTTAGGACGGTGTAGGAGGCGCCCGTGACAAATCCACTCAGCAACGAATCGGAGAGGTACACTGAGACAAAGCCCACTTGAAAGAAACCCATGGCCACCTGGAAGGAGTCAATCACACACAACAGATTAGGACACAAATCTTGTGGATTTTGTCCGTGTGGGGCTCTGGAGGGAGCTGCAGTAAAATAAACCTACTGTGCACAGCCCTGGAAGACAAGGCGTAGTCTGAGCATGGAGAAAAGAGTCTCCAGCAACCAAAACAGGCTTTTTTTGGGGGGGTCTTCACACTCTGGACCTGTGTTTATTGTTTGCTCATGGGTCCAGCAGTAACTGCTGGTTATCCTGGTGGGGAAAAAAGATAGCCTGGCAAAAACCGCCACGTTTGAAATACTGACTGCTTTTTCCATTTCTCTCTCAGTTCTTTTAACCTCTGTGAACTCTGCAGGGATCTAAAAACTTTTCTAGTGGCCTTTGTCTCTCTTACACTGGAGTTCACAGCCTGCAATAAAACCACAGCTTATGGTGTAACAGTTGTCCTTTGCACTGCATAAGGTTTAGTGCATCTGACTCAGTATATGAGCTGCAAACTCCTGTGATGCAGATCATATAAACAGAGATAATTTTTTAAGTGTCTTGCCATTAATCTTTATTAATGCTATTTGAATGGACAAATGTCTTTCATTGGAATGACTGGTTTTATGGATACCTACTCTACACATGCCTCTTCACACCTGGTAAATGTCCCTTCCTCCCCATCACACTTCATGCCAAATGGAGAAAGGACCTTCTCACAGCAATTTGGCAGAAACATTTTAATTCCCTGTGCTGGCCAACGGGGCTGTCTACACTGTTATCTCAAGACTGTAGACCAGAACTTACAGGTATTAAACTTTCAGAGGTGTTAACTTGATATATCCCCTTAGGTAGTTAAGGCAAAAAATAAAGAAGGCTGGGATTTCCATGAGAACCATAAAGTACTACTGAAGAGAAGGTAGGACCTGTACTGACAGGAAATCAGCTCAGAGCCAAGCTCTAAAAAACAAAACAAAACAAAACAAACAAAAAAACCAAAACAAAAACAATAAACAAAACAAAACAAAACAAAAAAACCCAAACCACAACTCCCTTACAGCCTTGGTAATGAAATTAATTCAAGGTTTTTCTAAGTGTAAAACATTAACAATAATTGGCATAACCTAATTATGCTGTAGGCAACTGGTGTGAGAAGACTTGCTTTTTATGATTTGATTGTACAATTTCTGCTACAAAGAACATGTGATTTCAGTTGGAGCTTCAAAAAAAAAATTTGAGGGTGTGAAGACCTATTGGTTGGTCTTCAGGGAGACAGCAAGTAGAATATGCCTGACATTCAGAGGGACTGAAGATAAAGTTATCTAACTTCTTCATATAAAGAAACCTAATTGTACTTATACTTGCAAAGAATATTAAGTGCAATTCACAACTCCAAAACTTCATCTATGTGATGAAAAACAAAAGCCAGTGCAGATCAGGAGGTCCAGGATACTTCTGAAATTGCTCAACTTGAACTTGTAGTAAAAGAAAAAGTTCCAGGTTGTGTCTAAAACCAGTGTTTTAGAGTATCACAGCTGTGTTTCTTTTCCCCTCCCATACAGTTTAATTAGCTATCACCCTGGACATTTAAGAACAAATGAATGTGAACTCACAAACTCAAATACCACAGCTCTACAGTACCATTAAAACTAATCCCATTCTGGTTAATGCATGACACTCTAAAACAAACATACCTGCTTTTATTTCAGCAAGCAGTGAATTTTAGGAAGTAAGTAGAGATAGACTGGTAAAATATTGTTGAGTAATATATTTTTATATGGTAATAATTTAAAGTTTCATTTCAAATACATTGTATCCTCTCAGTAGTGTTCTTTCCACACAATGCCATTGTTTTGGATTTAACTGGGCAAACAGCAAAGTTTTATAAGCACAGTGATAAATAAAAAGAAACTGGAGATCCACTTTTTTTTTTTTTTGTTAAAAGGCAAATGATTGAAGTCTGGAATTAAGAGCTGATGCACGTTTTGGTCCAATGAAATGGGGGGATAAGCTATAAGCTAGAAAAAAAAAATAAAATTTCAGGCCACAGCAAAGAAGGTGGTGAGCAGATTGTGAGAGCAGTAGGTGGGGTGTGCAAGTCCTTGCAGTCCACAATAGAGAAGGAATGAAAGCCCAAAATGCTGTTAAAAAATGGAAAGCACCCAGAGGAGTTTCCTGCACCACAGTAACTCCAGCCCTCCCCACATCCACTGCCCTGAGACACAGACTGAGGACACGTGCAAACCCAGCAGGGTGTTCACGGGCACAACCACCTAAAGAAGAATTATAACTGTTTCCACATCATACCTGTTTGTCCACCTCCTCTTACCTGATAAACTCCAGCTAAGAAGCTCACGGTGACTGCCACTGTAATCGCGTGGCAGCTCCTGTCACAGAGCAGCTCCTGCCATGTGCCATTCACTGGTGAAAGGGTGGTGTTCACACGTGCTGCTGCACCTGGGGGGACGCTGAGCACAGCTGGCTCCACGTCATAGCCAGCTCTCTCCATTTCACGATCCACCACTTGCCCCATCATCAGGCAGGTCACACCGAAGATGCTAACTGAGATGTGGCGGGAGGTTCCAAATATGCAATAAATAAGGCTCGCAAAAAAGGACGTATAGAGGCCATAAATAGGCTCCACTCCAGCCAAGAGAGAATAGGCAATTGACTGTGGGACTAGTAAGACCCCCACGATCACCCCGGACATTAAATCTCCCAGGAGATCCTCCCTTACTTTGTATTTAGGAAGCCACTGTAAGATGGGAAAGAAACCGAAAACCCAGTCTTTAACTTTGGCTGGAGTGCAGCTGCAGGTTTTCTTTGCTTGCTTAACCACCAGAGCCTTCACGCTCCTCTTCTTCTCTTGGGGTTCCAGGAACATTCCGTGATGGAAACTGCATTTGGCATCATCTGCTTCCGGCCCCTCAGTCACTGCATGGATGTTGTTGGTTTCTGTCACTGCTGCCATCGCAAGGACTTACTTACTGAAAACACAAAGAAGGACCACCTGCATTAAACCATAAATGAATGTACCCTGTGAGACATTTTTTAGAGAGTGAACACTATTTATGGAAAGTAAGGGCTGAAAGTGTTAGTTCAGCAGAGAGAAAGCAATCTCCAAGCAATTTGGGAAAGATCCTCCCCATCTTATCCCTGTTAATCAAAGAATGACCTTTCCTAGGAGGGAAGCTGATATCCCCTAGAATACACCTGCTGCTGGCAATGTTGTGAAATGGAAAGGAATGCAGCAGCACTGCTCCTCTGGGAGTCTTCCTTGAGAAAATCTTTATCTGCAGCCTGTTTCACCATGCAAAGACAGACACAGGGTTTATTGTAGTCCAACAGATATTTCAATACAGTTGCTGAAAATTAACTAAAAATGGTATATTGCTAGCAATGTACAGCTTGGTCTAAATCTCTTGTGGATTTTTTTTTTTTTAATGCAGTGATTGCACCTGCCAAATACTGTAAAGACTTGTTACCTGAGAAGTGGCATTATTTCAGCCAGGGACACACTGGAAGGAAAACGTGTTCTTCACGCCTTTTAAAAGCTGGTTTTTCAAGTAAATTACAACCGACTAAAACAACACACACCAGTGGAAAACATATTAGTGGGCACAAGGAAAGATAAGTGGAACACTACCACTAGAACTTGTGCTCTGTCCAAGCTGTCCACAAACAGTAAAAGAGGGTGTTTATACCAAAGCACATTTAATACTGGAAACATATTGCCTGACTGTGAAAGAGCACAGTCTTGATAAGCTATAATGAAAGTTGACAGTAACAAGTGATTGTCAGCATTTATACAGCACTCCCATTTCCAGAAAGCATTCAGAATCCTCCAGAAAACTCTTTCAGCCACAATACCTGCTACAACCAGCATTCTGAGGTTGATAACTTTCAGCCAGAAACCCACTGGGCTGGTGCTACAGTGGAGTCAAGGTGAGAGACAGCAGGAGAACCCTGAAAAGTCTCACTGCCAGGCTTCCCTTTCAACCACTGCAGTCCCAGAGTGCCAGTAGCAACCTACCTCTTATGTGCTACTTATGTCTCCTCTGTGCAGTGCAAACATCAAACAAACTACTGTCTGTGCAGTGTTTATCACTGAATTAATTACCAAATTGCTACTGGAAGTAACAGTGCTGAGGATGCCACAAAGAGTCTGCCTTGAAATATGTTCACTTAATCACTATTTCACAACTAGACATAAAATCACAGAATTGTAGAGTCACTCAGGTTGGAAAATCCCTCTAAGATCACCGAGTCCAACCATTCCTCCAGCACTGCCAAGTCCCAATAACCCATGTCCCCAAGTACTACATTACATATCTTTTAAATCTCTCCAGGGATGGTGACTCCACCAGTTCCCTGGGCAGCCTGTGCTAAGGCTGGACAACCCTCTCAGTGAAGAAATTTTTCCTAACACTCACTGCTACTATCACTTCAGCGAGTCTCTCAAAAACATGTGAGGGGAGAAGTGACAGAAGTGAATTTGTGTGATGCTTAAGCTAACTTCCCTTGTCTAATGCTTTCCAATTCAGTATCTTAAATGTGTTCTAGAATAATCAGGGGCTCAGAAGACCCATATGAAGAATCAGGATCTTTACAAGGAGGAAACATGCACTGCAAGATGTTACGTGCTCAAAATGACACAATGATCATGCTTGGAGGAGATCCCCCCCACCTTTCAGGTATCTAATCTCACCCACCTTTACAGGACTCCAGAGTGTGCTCAGGGATAATTTACAGCACTCACAAAACTGCCCCCAAATACCACACAGTGAGAATGAAGTATTACAAAAGCCTGCTCTACTCTGCTTAAACACATTCTAGAGTTGTATTTGCTCAAGAAGTTTTATTCATTTTACAAGCACAGAGTTACAAATCAAAAAGCTTTTCACTCACTCAAAGCTCAGCAAATCAATACCGTAAAAGCTGAGGGGGGGAAAAAATCACCTCACACTACCTTTTATGTGTAGAAAATTATTTGGATGAGTTTGATTTCTAGATTTTAGTGATGAAAATCCTCCTGATTGCACTCTCCCTCATGCAGGACTTGTAGACAGCTCTTTTAAACCTGGTGTTTTCTAATGTGCCAGGGAACTCCAACACAAAACCCAGACAGCTTGGATTAGTTCTGCTGTAAAACATTTGTGTGGTAGATGATGCCTGGGTTTTGGTCATGTCCAAAAAGCAGAGAAATGTTCCAAGTAAAAATCTCTGGCTACGAACCTCTGAGCACATACTGAGTCTTTGTGTTGACTTGCATGACGGCTTTCTCTACGTGGCATGAAAAGGGCCTTTCATCACACAGTCCCTGCCTCTCCTCATGTCAGGATAAAAGGAAATGACACAATTTCTAACCCCCCTTTTCATCCTCAGTGTTGCTCTGTGTTATTTTTATAACCGTTAGCCCAAGCTTGCCTAAGAAAACTGGATTTTATTCCTAAACATAAAAAAAAAAAATAGAAAACCCCATTGGTTTAATGGATAGGACACTGAATGATATTCTGTATATTTAGATGGGAAAAGGAGCCACTGTGTTTTTTATTTTGAAAGCTGCTATTTATGTACAACTTCGTACGCCTAGAATTCACTTTTATCAGTTCCTTTTGGCTTGAGTAAGGTCTTCAGGGTGTGTCTGTTTGCCACAAACTTTACTCAAGATAAAAAGAAAAAGACTACAACACAGAACTGAGGGATTTTCCAGTATCTCTCTGTTATAAGTGACTGCCAGTTACTTATCAGTGACTAAAGATATGGGGAGGTTCTGCAGTTCTGGAGATCTGATGACTTTTACAGACTCTTTTTGGAGCCCATCTGGGCCTTTCTTTCTGATCCCATGACATAGCAGAGGTGAGCTACCACCTGCCTGGCATCTGTCTTTGGGGGAACACAACCTGCAGCACAGGGCTGGCTTCCACAATCCTCTGTCACAGATCACAGTCACTTGGCAGTAAGGGAAAAATTGATTGTGAAGCTCATTCACCTACTGAAATAATGTACTACAAGCTTAAACTGAAGATGTGAGCATCTAAGAGTAGAAACTAAATCAAAGGTTAATCAGAAGTATTCCTTCTATTACACTCATCTCAGTTTTCCAGATTATTTTTCTACATTTCATGTGCACGAGTTGACACTGTATGTGATCACTACCCACTTTCAGGTACCTGTTTTGCTAGACATGAAAAGTTAAAAACGAATGTATAAACACATGATCTAAAGAGACATGAGCAATTCCTTAAAGAGCTGTAAAGGAGAAGCAGGTGAATCAGAAATCAATGAACTGAACCAGAGCTGGGCTACTACCTCTGGATCCTTGGAAAATCTCCCCCTAAGAGTATAAAAGGAGAGCATATCACAGTATTTTGACAAGTAAAGCTTTGACCTTACTTTTGTTGGACAACAGCCTTTTTCAAATAATGTCTTAACTCTTGTGGAGCAACAAGGAAATTCAATACTGCCATGATAACACCGAGATAAGCACTGGAACAGCACTGTATGCACCTTGGAATTTGACAAAACACTTAACATCCTCCAACAAAACATTCAAGCCACGAACATTTACTTCAACAAAGGACTTAAAATAATGTGAGTACCAAAAAAAGACATACCGTGTTTAAGCAATACATTTGGGAGCAGAGCGACCTTACTTTTGGCACAATAACCACCAGCCGTTCAATCATGCGGGAAAACCTGCAAAGCCGGACAACAAAACCTCGCTTGTGTGAAATATGTAATCTCCTCCTGCTTCAAATGTCGGTTCTCCTGAGCAGCAGCAGCAGCAAAGCTGCTCACCAGCATCTCTGGGGAAGATCCCACGGAATCAGCAGCCCCGCTGGCAGCCAGCCTTTCCAGGAAGGTCATCTCACCTCCGAGAGCAGCTGTACGAGTGTGTTGGCTGCTCTGCCCTGCCCTGTGTGAAGCAGATCCCTCCTGCAGACCAGCCACAGCCTCGCACAGTGCTCCGGCAGGCTCCATCCGAACTGGATTTTTTACGGAGACTTTGCTAAGAAGTACTTCCACCAAGTCAGGGCCCTCCTCCCGCCCTTACCGTTGGCAAGCAGAGGTGAAGCACTGAAGAGCTGCTGTGTTGGGCGGCGAGGAGGATGGGCGGTGGGAGAGCTGCCCAAAGGTATTTCCTGGGGCAGTGGCCGCCAGCTCAGCTGCCCACCACGGCCCCAGCCCAGCTCCATCCGCAGGGCAGCAGGGAGAGAGCCCGCCCGGCTCCCAGCGGAAACCCAGGCACTGGGACTGTGCCGGGTAACGGCGTGCTGACAAGAATGCTGTTTGTTGAGCTGGCTAGGGTTTTTTTTATGTTAACAAAACCCTGCTAGAAGAAGAGACACCAAGAAGAACCCCACGCGCTGTTTACACTCCTGAAACTGCGAAGTTTTGCTGAGAGCTCGCGTGTCGCTCTGGGAGCCAACCAACCAGCAACTTACGCTGCCGGGAGGGCGAAAGGGAAGTAAGACACAGCAGCATTTTAGTTTGTAAAGCAACATTCACTTTCACCCGCAGGGTCCCGAATACAACATTCACTTTCACTGCCTTCACATCCAGCCCCTCCGCTCCCGCCTCGGCAGGAGCTCTCCCTATGGACCCGCGGCTTCCATCTGCCGCTTTCCTCCTCCTACCCTGCGGAGCGGCTCCCAGGGGGGCTGTGAGCAGCACGCCCGAGAGGGTCCGCAGCCGGACGCCGCTGCCGCCCCGACCCCTGCCGGCCCGGCCCGCCTCCCTCCCTCGCCACTCACCGCGGGCCCCGGCGCTCCTGCAGACCTCGGGCGGTGGGACCGACGGACAGACGGAACCGACGGACGGCGGGCGAGCGCGCGGCTGCGGCGCACACGCCCGCGAGGGCCGGAGCGGCGGCAAGGGAGGACGGGCAGGGCCGCGCCCCTCAGCCCGCCCTGCCCCGCTGCCGAATGGATGCCGCGTGTGGTCCGAGTTAGGAGGGGCCCGCGGGATGGCTGCTGCAGAGAGTGGCTCCCCGGTTCTGTTCCTGTTCCTGTAGCCGGGGAAAAAACCCGCCCTGCAGCGAGGAACCCGCTCCGTTGTTGAGGAACCCACGTTTCAGGCGGGGAAGTCGCATTCACGCTTCTAAGTTGAAAGATTGATTAGGGTTGGTAACGCGAGATAAAAGTGAGCTTAAACTTTCCGCAGATAGGGAAACTGCAACAGTTTCTGACAGAGGACAGCGCCCCTTTTTCCTCTGAGGTACCACAAGGATTCATAAAAAATTAGACTTTCAAAATCCCTCCGTGATGTTTGTTTTGGTGTCCGGGTGTGTCTGGGAGGTAATTCCAGCTGGACGGACAGAAGATCCATGACAATGTCGGTATTAAAAACACCAGGTTTTTGTTCGGTACTCTGATTTTATCTCTAGGCTGGAGGTCAAGGCTGGAGGGGCCATGCCCAGCCTCGTCTGCCTTTCCTTCACCGTTTGCAGAGAAAAGCAGGCATTTGATCTGAAATCAAACATTGCGCAATATTTGCATTCCAGGTGGAACCTTGAGCTGTCAAAACGGAACATGAATGTATTTTAGCATATGCAAACCTGTAGAGTCCCTCAAGGTCTTTCACTGTCCCTGCTGGGGTGAAGAGCTTCTGCTTCAGCTGCTTCATGCAAATAACTGTGTCTGAAGGCAGCAGAACCACAAGCAACCAGCAGGAATATCATCTCTTCCTCCCCAAGGTGTTTGGACAAGCATAAAAATTTACTAATCCAGACCACATATGGCACAGGCGGTTTTGCTTCTGCATCAGATACCTTTGATTGGGCAGGATGGGCACAGGCAAAAGCTGCTGCCTTAGAGCCAAGATCAGCATTGCTGCTGCTTAGTTTTGTTGCAGTTCCTATTGTGCTCTCAACTTTAGGACAAAATCAATTGCCACTGACTTTTGCAAACTGAATTACTTTAATAACATGCTGCCAACACCGTATTTGATACAGCTGAGCAAAAATGAGCAACTTAATAGTATTTCCACCATGGTTAACAGAACAAATAAGAGAGAAGCTCTTGTAGTAAGAGGCAGTGACGTACCCCACAGAGGCCCTCACAGCAACCCACAATCCCTTTTCTGATATGCCAGCTTAACAACCCTCCCCCTACAGCAATGGTCCCAATTCCTAGGCCTGGAAATACAAAGCAACACCTTCTCCCCACATCAAAATAGGAGCTTCAAAGAGCCATCAGGCACAATGATGCCAGCATGGACTGGATACTTCAAAGGGATGCTTACTGTCTCTATAAGCCTGAGGCAGGGTGTTTCTTCAGCAGTCTACGCAGTCTACATCTGCTCATATCACTTCCAGGTTGTTGGTCTAGGAACATGCAGAGGTAATCGTGAGGCACTTGCAGGCAGCACTCAGACAGGGCACAAATGACTCCAAGCTTCCAGCAGCTCTCATTGTTGGTGTTCACCTCCCAGAAACTCTGGACACTCTGCATGTCTGGGACAGCACTGCACATATTTGAGTTCTGTCCTGGTTTTGGCTGGGAGTGGGCAGGTGGGGAGCAATTTTATTGTGCATCACTTGTTTTAGTTGGCTTTTCTCAGTCTCTTTGCTCCTTTCTATTACTGTTATCATTAGTAGTAGTATCTTTATTATTATATTTTGCTTTGTTTCAGTTATCAAACTGCTCTTATCTCAACCCACAGGTTTTACAAATTTTTCAGAATTTCTGAGGAAACCCACCAAAGCTAGTATTTGAAAAGCTAGAGCCAAATAGGCCAGTGGTAGAGGAAGAAGCAGGATTTGAAGAGCTAGAGCCAAAGGAAAAGCCAGTGGTAGAGGAAAAAGTAGAATTTGAAGAGCTACGGCCAAAGGAGAAGGCAGTGCCAGAGGAAAAACTAGGATCTGAAGAGCTGCCTTGGAAGGAGTTACAGCCAAAAGAGAAGCCAGAGGCAGGGATAAAACTAGGTGGGTAATGTGGATGCTGGGGTCCACCTGTACCGCTGTGAGGAGTTGAAAACCGCACATCTTTAAAACATAAAGAAAGAGAAAAAACACATTATGATTAACAGATAATTGTGCATTGATGAAAGCTGGACTTCCCAATCCAACTCATCCAAGTCATCCAACTCAAACCCACCCAAAACATATGTTAACTGAAACACCTTCTGCACTCTCTTAGCTGCTCCTATGTAATTCTGAGGTGGGTGGACAGCACATTTTGGGAAATGCAGCTCTTTCAGTTTTAGCACAGTGTGCTTCTTAGTGTACCCAAGGCTGTACAGATGGTGGCCAGTTAGGAGTGCACATCACTCACTGTCACACACGCTCCAACCCCAGCTGTCTCAGCCTTGACCCACGGCTCACTCTCACTGTCAGTGAGGGCTGAAGCACCATCAAGACAGCAGTAACAAGGGAACCCTGATTTTTTCGATTCAGTTGGACAAATGCCCCACCACGTAGAGCTCTGGGATTGTAGGCTGAGCATACCAAGCATTACCAAAAAGCAGAATTATTTGCACAGAAAGAGCAGAGTATTTATGTCGTAAACAAACTCCACCTGCTGCTGCTGTGATGAGTTCTCAACTCTCCCCTTGAATCAAAGGCATGCCACAGACAGGGGAGGAGTTGCCATTATCTTCTCTTAATCCTCACAAAAAACTCCTAGAAATTCCACACCTCTTTGCCCAGAGCCTGTTTTAACAGGGTCTATCCAAGGCATGCCCAAAACACTGAAACCCAGGACAAATTTCCCTTTCTGTACACACATTTACATTTGTATGCAAATAAGCATACGAAGTTAGGAATCAACACTTCTAGGGGTACTTCATGTACTTGGTGTCTTGTATTACAACCCTGTCTTAAAGATGTTTTGTTGACTTTTCCATCTTGCTTTTGCTATAGTGAAATGATCACTTACCAGGTGGTGGTTTAATTGAGGACTCCATGTTTGAAAGGAATTGCTGGAAAAGGGAGAGAACATTGCGTGTTTTTGATTCATCCAAAGCAATAGGTGGGTTTGGCACTTTCACACCATCCGTGATAGGAACAGGCTTCCGTTCCCTAATACATGCAGAAAGAATCATAGAACCATAGAATCATTAAGGTTGGAAAAGACCTCCAAGATCATTGAGTCAAACCTGTGACCCATTCCCACCTTGTCAACCAGACCAGAGCACTGAGTCTCAAGTCCAGTTATTCCTTGAACATCTCCAGGGATGGTGACTCCACCACCTCCCTGGGCAGCCCCTTCCAATGTTTAATCACCCTTTCTGTGAAGAAATTCCTCCTAATGTCCAACTCAATCTCCCTTGGCACAGCATGACACTATGTCCTCTCATCCTGTCCCTTGTTCCCTGGGAGCAGAGCCCAACCCCCACCTGGCTCCACACTCCTGTCAGGGATTTGGAGAGAGTGAGAAGGTCCTCCTTGAGTCTCCTTTTCTCCAGGCTGAGCCCCTCCAGCTCCCTCAGCCACTCCTCACAGTCCTCACATGACTGACTCTCCAGACCCTTCCCCAAATCTGTTTCCTTCTCTGGACACGCTCCAGTCCCAAATGTCTTTCTTGCCATGAGGGGCCCAGAAGTGGACACAGCACTCGAGGTGTGGCCTCACCAGTGCCCAGTGCAGAAGGACAATCACTTCCCTGGGCCTGATGGCCACACTATTTTTGGTACAGGTCTGGCTTCTTGTCCACCTGGGCACACGCTGGCTCATGTTCAGCTGCTGTTGACCAGCACCCCCAGGTCCTTTCCCACCAGGCAGCTTTCCAGCCACTCTTCCCCCACCTGTAGCTGGGGTTGTTGTGACCCACGTGCAGGACCTGGCATTTTGCCTTATTGAACCTCATGCAGTTGTCCTCGGCCCGTCGATCCAGCCCGTCCAGATCCCTCTGCAGAGCCTTCGTGCCCTCCAGCAGATCAACACTCCCGCCCAACTTACTGAGGGTGCTCGCGATCCCCTCGTCCAGATCATCAGTAAAAATATTAAACCTTGGGAAGATCTTACCTGGCTTGAATTGCTGTAAAAGCCTGTAAAGACATTTTGAAAGTAGAATTAGCATAGCACAGGCTCAGGCCAGCCCAAGAGCTGTGTATCTCTGGGAAGGGGGATGCTGTTAGGTACCCTGGTGAAAAGAAGTATATCTGTCTGATTTCTCAGAACCTCCAGCTCCTGAACATCATGGCTGGCTGAACGCTTCTGCTCTCTGTGGTTCTTTAACTCCATATGAATCCGAGAAATTTGTTGGTTCTCATAGTCACTGAGAGCTTTCAGGATCTCACGTTTTTTTTTCTCTAGCTGCAGACTGATCTCTTTGAATAGGCTCTCCAGCCGTTGCCGCTGCAGACCCTCCTTAACCTATTAAGAAAACACTTTTAAAGCTGTAAGGGACTGTGTAGGGACATTTTCCACACGAGCTCTCACTCAGAAAAGGGCCTGTTCTGTTCTGGGATGACAGAAGTAACTAAAAATTGAATAAGGTTGGAAAAATAAAAAAGCCACACACCAATCACTCATCAGGAGGCATGGATTTAACAACAACTTTCAAGTTTAACTAACAATGTACCTCCCAGATCGATAAGAAAGCTGTTCATAATCCTCCCTCAAAGAAGAAACCTCAAAAATACACTAGAAACCGCCCAGGATCTAAAAAAAGCTTCAGAATCCATAATCTGGGAAAGCGCAAAAGAAAACCTTATCTCAACAGTTGCCAGCATGCAACCATCCCCAAAGTGATATGGGTCTTGGAACAAACCTTTACTTCCTCCGCTTGTTCCAGCAGGTTTGCTATGCTTCGATCCAGCGCAGCTTCATAGTTTTTCACCTCTTTTACAGTTTCGGGAAAAACACGCTACAAATATAACCAGTGGGAGATATCAGGATAGGACTCACATACATGCATGAAACCAGCAATTTTATAGACATGGGCTAAGCTAGACTTGCCAAAGGTTTGCTCACTACATGCTCTCAGGACAAATCAATACAGAAAGGTTTACTGCAAGATTTTATCCCTGAACAAATGCTTCAATTACTAGCACAAGAACAACAATTTGAAACTGAAAACTGTTCATGTGTAATAGCCACACATAAAGCTACTTCTGCTGCTGGCAGCTTCCTTTCTGTTACTCTCTCATTAATTTTCTTTGCATAACTGCGGCTCAGGCTAATCTTTGGCTTGGAAGTGCACCAAAGCCACGAGCACTTGGTCCCACTCTCCCCAAACCCTCCCCTCAGGATGGGAAGAAAGTATTTACAACATCTCGGTTTACATCCCAGGGGCTAAGCCCAGAGGGAACCTGGGACTAAACTGAGAATAAAAGCCCAAAATGGGAATTTAACCCCACGCTGGGTCTGCAGTTCTGAAACATGGGAGGAGCTCCAGCCCTGTACTGCGGGCAGCTCTCCGCGCCGCAGCCCCCCGTGGTTTTCCTAATGCAATCCATGCCCGAGCCGCTGTCCCGGCAGCCTCTTACCTGTGCTTGGCCAAAAGCCTCCTCTAAGCTGATGATCTTGTGCTCCCTGTGGGAGCTGAGGACAGAGCACAGCATGCAGATGCAGACCTTGTCCATCTCGCAGTAGCATTCCAGCAATTTGCCGTGCTGGGGGCATTTCCTCTCAGCCAAAACCTGGGCACCACAGGGCTCCACCAGGACGTGGTTCTGGGTGTTCTTTGTGCTGTGCTTGCTCAGGTGGGCTTGGCACAGGGAGGCCTCGCAGGTCAGGCAAGTCTTCACGGCTGGATAGGGCTCCTGAAAGCAGAAATCACACAGGATCACCTCCTCTTGCTGGTCCGAACTTTCCTCTTTCTCTTTGCATTGCACTTTCTGCTTTTCTTCCTCTTGATGAATACAAGCATCCAAAAAGTTCTGCACTATGTTGCGGAGATGGAAGTTGGGCTTCAGCTCCCCGATGGGGCCTGTGGGGGAAAGGCAGAGCGGGCACTTGGAAGGGCCCTGCTGGCATTTCTGATCCTTCTGGATGCACTCCTCGCAGAAGCTGTGACCGCACCCCAGGGACAGGGGGTTCCTGTAAATGTCCAGGCAGATGGGGCAGGTCAGCTCGTCCTTCAGCCTGGCCGCAGCACCCGCCTCAGCCATGGCGCCTGAGCCTCGAGAGAGGGCTGAGAGCAAGGAGGAGGGCACTGGTGGGAAACGAAACTGAAAGCAGGAGTGGAACAAACCTCTTGTTTGCTCTGCGGGCAAAAAGCTGCTGCCTCCTCCCCCTTTAAAGGGAGGGTCTTCCCTCTCCTCCGCCGAGCTTCCTGCGTCTCGCCTGCCACGTGAATTCGTCACAGCTGAATTCCATTTAGCAGCTCAGAGCTGGGAGCTTGGGTGCTTCAAGGGTAACGGGGCAAAGAGTCCACCCCTGCTTACACGGGGATGCAGCAGCCAGGACTCGGAGCGGGAAGGAAAGCTGGGAGGAGTCCCTGCGGGCATGGGGCAGCTGCTGCGGGCAGGGAGGTCCAGAGAGCTGGACCAGCAGGGAGAGAGGTCCCCAAGCTGGCAGGGAGGAAAAGAACCAAACCTGCCCCTGTTCGCCTCTGCAAAGACACCTGGATGGACCTGGACGACAAACTGGGACTGATAAATGCTGAGAGTGGGCAAATGCATCCATTACTTAAAGTGCAGCCTCCAGAGCCCCTGTACAGACTTTGAGTGGCCCAAAGCTGAGGTCTGTGTCAGGGAGTGGGGAGCTGCAGCTCAAGGCACAGGTGGGAGCTGCAGCTCCGAAGAGCAGCCCAGGACAGCTCACTGGGCAGTGAAATGAAGTCCAAGCAGCAGGTGTTTCACACTGGTCAGGACCAGGAGCCTGGGGTGTGCTGCCCACACTACCTGCTGCCCACACTGCCTGCCAGGTGCTAGCCAGCCCATGGCAGTGACCAAAGCCGTCCTATCCACAAAAGCTCCTGACTGACTGATTTTCCCCTCTCACAAGGCACACTGTGCCTAGTCCAGGAGATAAATAACACTGCCTCCCTCCCCTCCAGCAGCTGGAGAGGAGCCTTGTAAGTGACTACAAAAGCAGTGCCTGTCTGTGTGAAAATGAGTTTATCACTAACTTTTATCAGTAAGTTATGCCAAAATGAAAACTTTCCCACTGGCTTTTTCCAAATGGTTGGAACTAATTGCTGGGACTAACAGAGCTGCTGAAATGATGTTGACGTTCAGCAACAGCTCCCTTCAGTCTCTAGGTCTGCTCTCAGAAATTATCCCAATTTGCAATTATGCTTGATAAACAATATCAGTTGTTTATTTTCCAGGAAGCTGCCTAGGAGGCGCAGGTCAGGCTGGGAGGACAAACCTAAACTGTGGGTCTCTCTCTCCCTGCAGACCTTTCCTTCATGTGCTGCAGCCTGGGAACCCACTTCCATGCCTCTGCTCCCACATGAACCCACCCTAGGCACACCAACACCAGCTGCCTCAGCAGCATCCCCACGTTTCCCCCCTGCAAGTTCATGTTTTCATCTATCCTGGCACTGTTACTGTGCCTGATGTATTTCAGAAAAATACTTCTGGTTTGGTGGTCCTGAAGCCTGCTGGATTTGAAAAGCAGCAGGGAATGGGCTTCTGATCAGTTCTCCACTCAGGTTGCAGCAGTTACAGGGATGAGGGGCTGGGTTTGGGGTGGGAAGCTGGTTCTGGCTTTGTGGTGGGCTGGGGGACCCACACTGGGCTCCTACCAGCTGTGCTGGAGACAGACAGGTGTAGAGCTGCTGCCTAAATTGGTGCACACCCACAAAAAACCAGCTGGGACAGCTCAGCACCATGCAGACCTGCTCCTCTCAGGCTGCTGGGATCCTCCTACTCGGCCACATCACCGAGCCACGTTCTTGATAAATCCAGTACAGCCTCTCTGACCTGGCGAGCCCTCACAGGGGTAACAGCTGGCACGAGGCTCCCGTGTGCCAGGTGCTCCAGGGCAGCTGCCTTCCATCCCAGTGCTTCCACAGCCTGGAATCCCCTGATGACCAGGACACCAGGACACCCTGTGCTGGGACACAATGGCTGTGCCCCTGGGAGAGCAGGCTGGTTCCCAGGGGACTGCTCTCCTGCTTCCAAGGGACTGTCCAGGTGCCATCCTGAGCTGTACAGTTGCTGCATCACCATCTGGAGTCTTTTCCATACTTTTTCTTGCTCTCTTACTCCCACTCAAGCAAATTTGAGGTGCATGCCCCACTTCATCTTTAACCCTCCCCAGTCTGGAGGGTTTCTTCTGCAATGGGTCTTGTGACATCGGCACTGCTCCAAAGTCCAGAATACGGAGCCCAGGCTTTTCCTGCACGAATTAAACTGGAAGAAGCCACACTTAAAATAGCAATATACAGGGATATTCTCCCACAGGAGCTGCATCCCTGGCACCCCTGGTGTGAGCCAGCTGGGGGGTTCTGCCACCCCCATGGCCCCAGACATGCCCCCACAGTCCAACTGCCCAGGCAGATGCAGGAGAGCACCTTCAGCAGAGCAAAACACCTCCTCCCCGAACAGCCTTGCACTAACAAATTAAAATATTGCAGCACAAACTTGTTCTTTTGATTTTTTTTTCCCACTTTATAGTATATATGTTATCGTTTATTTATAGGCAGATCACTTCACTATTTACAGTACATGAGCGTAGAGATTCTACAGTCTTTTTGATGTAAACAATTAACTCCACGGCAGGGGAGTCTGGAAAAAGAAGCCAGTTCTGAAGTATTTACACAATTTAAAATAGAACTTTTATACCCACTGGATAGATATAGAGAATACATTGAGCGATTTGGTTAAATTATCTATGAAACTATAGAATCTGACAATGTAAAAATACAAGAAAACGTTCTCTCATTTTAGAAGGTAGACAGTTAAATCACACTAGAAATAAATCTCTTTTTTTTAAAAATAATAACAATAATAATAAAGGAAAGGCATAAGAATCCATGCCATCTTTTAAGGTTAAAGTATATTACATAAATAAGGACACAACAGAAAGGAACTGGGGAAAAAATTAAGTGAAATATAAAAAAACCACTACCAATTGAAAAAAAAACATACTAAAAACTTGATTCTTTATCACAGTGGGATCAATTCTGCTACTTTTACTTACTCTGCAAGTAGAAAATTGCAGTTAAGTAGTACTTACTCAGCATGAGCAAGGGAGGCAGAATTGGCCCCTAATAATTATGAGCAGTGTCCTTTTACTTAAAAAAAAAGAGAATAAAGAAGAAAAAGACAGAATTTAGCCTTTTTTTTTCATAAATAACAAAGCAGATGTGCCCCTTTTTTGGTGAAATTCTTACACCTTTCTCAAGAAATGCATCAATTTAACTGTTCTCTCTGTTTCTCGCATGCATACACACACTCCCTCCCCGACTCTGTGTTGCAGCCAAGCTGCTGCTGTCCCTGACCCCAGGGAGGGTGAGGGAAGAGGAATGAAACCCCAAGGCTGCGTTTGGGCTCTATATTGCTTGAGATTGTCGGGGATGGACTACAATGCTTAGAACAGAAAGGGTGTCGGGTTGAACACCGATGTATCTTAGGATTCAGCATACCTCCAGGAAGAAGGAAAAAAAAAAATCAAAAAGAAAGGATAAAACCGTGTTGATCTGCAATTGCAATACTCCTTTGCATGGACCAGAGCTGAAATCAGACAGGACTGTAACATGGTGACTGAGCTGCTTCATTCAAGATGTGCAGCCCAGCCAGCTGCGCTGAGGAATCGGGATAAACATTTTCTTTGGGGCAGCATCAAACCTAAAACCTGGGATTGTCCTCTGCATTCAGCCCACACACTCAGAAACATTTGCTCCTTCCTGCGGAGCCTCAGGGACCCACTGGATTCCAGCCAGAAATCCAGTATCCCACCCTGAACAATTAGCTTTTCTGGGGCAAACCTGTGCAAAACAAGCAAAGGGGCATTTTATCACGAAACTCTTCACATTCAGCATTTCCCCACAGCAGCCACAGGAAGTGACTGAGGGACATTCTATAATTACATATTTTTAAAAAAATAAATCTCCTCCTGACTTATTGCCTACCAAAGTAAACCCTTCTGCTCCCAGTTTCTCTTTGAAGCTGTATTCCTACCTGTCCCACAGCCCCCTCGAAGGGGCTGGGGTGTTAGGGTTCCCTTTTTGGGGTGCCCAGCTCCGAGCTGCATCCTCCCTGGGGCACCCACATCGATGCCACAGGCTGGGTGGGACATAAAGGCAATCCTTGGAGAGAGGGGGATCCCCACTCTCTGGCAGTTCCTGCAAAATTGTGTGCCCCTGGCTTGCCTGGTAGCACTGTCTGCCTCCCCCCACACAGTGCCCACGCATTGCTTTGCTCCCACCCCACTTCCCTGTCAGCATCCAAAACAGTCACAGGCTGCTAAGGGACAGAGCTCTCACCTGCCCCTGTGCCCAAGCTCACCTTCCTGCCCCTGTGCAGACTTGAGCACTGTGAGTTAAAGATACCTTTATAGTAAAAAGAACCACCCCCCCCCAAAAAAAATCAAGTGGAAACTTACTTTTTACCACAAACCCTGCATGAGGGATTCTAAACCCAGAAAAGCTGCTCTCTCCACTCTCACCCAATCCTAAAATTTGGAGGAAGCCACCAGAGCAGGCAGCACACAGCCCATGGGGCTCTAAGCATAGTGCATAAGATCTAGAAAAAATTTCTTGGGGAGGAGGGAAAACAAACCATCCCAATTTAATGAAAAAAAAAGTAAAAACCCAAAGAAAAAAAAAACCAACCCCACTTATAGGCTTCAGGCACCTCGAAGACCACTTATTGCATCTCTTCCTACCCTACGGCTGCAGTACTGATCAGCTCTGTGCAGGACCAGCCCTCCCCTTCCCAAGCACTGCTCTCAGGATCCAGCAGCTGGGCACAGGCAGGGGCTGTGGGCCAACCTGGGGTGCCCAGCTGCAGGAAAACAATGTGAAATTTTTTATCTGGATACACCAAAACCAACGCTTGGGAAGCAACTGAGTGATCCTCCAGGAGTGGGCTGGAGTCCCCCCAGCTCTGCACTAACCCTTCCCCTCCACCACGCTTGATGCATCCCCAGCGGGGCCCGGCCATGGGTGCCCCTGGCTGAGCGGGAGATGGAAGAATTCCACTTACTTAGCTATTTTGTTTTTGTTTTTGTGGTTTTTTTGTTTTGTTTTGTTGGCTTTTTTTTTTGGATTGATCGTTTTCTGAAAAACATCAGCACAGCACAGGACAGTACTACCCACCCTAAATGTGTCGCTATATACATTCTACATAAGCTCTATAGCAATCACATGTAAACATCATCATCGTGAGGAAATACTAGGACAGAAAAAGGCAAAGCTACAATGAGGCAATTGCCAATAGCAGATGCTCAGTCTCGGCCAGAGCTGCTCGTGTTCACTAAGGTGGGATGAGAAGTGGGGGGATTTTGTGGCAGGAGAGACACCAAACCTTGCTGTGAGGCTGAAATGGCACAAGGACTGTTCCCTGGCAGTGATCGTCACTGGTGGTGGATTGGGGACCCCGCGGTGGCCTCTGGGCCCTCGCGCTGCCGGGCTGGTTGTTGTCAGAACCACGGCTTTCCCGAAAGAAATAGCCAGGGAACTGTGCTGGTGTCAGCGCTGCCGGCATTCCTGCTCCCACCAGAGACCAGCTGCACTCACAGCCCCAGAGCCAGGGGCCATCCCGGCAGGGCTCAGGCTCTTGGCATCGCACCTTGTGCAATTTCGAAGGTTTTGGTCATTCTCCCTGCAAGATGAAATATATCCACGCCAAGGAAATGAGAATAAAACCCCTAAGTCATGTCGAGGGGAGACCCCAGGAGATTCTAATCTATCTATTGGCATAGTTAAGGCTATAATATTCTATCTACATAGGATGGCTGAATCCCTAGTGGTCTTTGGGGGGAAAAATAAAAGGAGACAATGGTAATGGCTTGAGGAGCAGTGAGAATCCCACTCCCTCAGGAAACAGTGCCTCTGGCCAGCTGGTGGTGGGGTTTGCTCCAGGCAGAGGTGGGCTCTCTCCCCATCGCACCTCACCCAGAGGTGAAGGGCAAGTCCGCAAGCAAATTTCATGCTTGAGCATTCCTTAAATCCAGTCCTGAAGGCCCCTGGCCAGAGGCAGAGCAGGCAAACGTGCCGTGGGGCACTGGCGGGCATGGGGACGGATCCTGGGTGCCAAGTGGGTGCTGGGAAGTGTATGGCTTATCAGGCAGTGGGCGGAGGGCGGGCAGGGTGCTGGGTGGGCAGACGCTTGGTGAGGATGCTGTGCCCCCTTCCGCCTCTCTGGATTTTGACCTGGCTGCCCAGTGGAGATCACAGATGGGTCACAGATGGGTCTTCTCACCCCACTTGCTTTGCAGGGGCTGGAAGCAAGTGCAGAGCAAACCGTTTGGCCCAGCCAGTCTCCCAGCCATCTGAGGGGCTGGAGAGAAGCCAGATCCCTCATACTGACCTGGAGATACCCACCCCTCAGGCTGTGCCAGCAGGACCCGCTGGATTCAAGCCTGGCTGGCTCCAGCCCCCCAACCCCTCTCTCCTGGCTCCAAAGGCAGCAGAGGGCTGGAGCAGTGCTGGTTGGAAGTAGTGCATCCTTCTTCCACCCCTCTCCTTCCCACCTGCAAAGCTGCCAGGACCCAGCTCAGCATCTGGGTGCTGCTGCGGAGCTCAGGCCACGTGAGCAAGAAGAATGGCTTTGACAGCAGAGTGGATGACCCCAGCACAACCATCGAGCACCCCGGTTTGCCAGCGGGGCAGGTGGGTGAATGTCAGCTCCGGGACTCTGCTCTGACCCCCCATTTGCTGAGTGGCAAGTGCCTCATTACAGTGCATAGTTAAAAATCAAGGAAGCGGTACAATAAATCTGAATTACAGTACATCTGAGCCATAAATACATTTTTTTAAGTATATACTTTTTTTTTTCTCTTCTTCTATTAAAAATTAGTTTATAATCCTGATTCTATTCACAATTAACAATTTCATCATCACACACTACAGACAAAAAAATGTTATGGTGAACACAGCTGCAACTCCACGGCGGGAGCACGGGGAGGGCCGGGAGGGGGAGAGGGGCCGGGGGGCTCCTAGGCTCACCCTAAAACAACCAGTCAGAAGCGGAGGGACTAACGTGTGGCAGTGAGACATCAACACCATGGGGACTCACAGACAGAAGCAGCTTTGTTCAATGTAAACATCGATCAGAAGGGAACAGCATCTCTCTCTGGCCGTGCGTGCCTCGCGCGTTTATCGCTCTATCTCGCTTTCCATAGACTGAATAATTTCTTTGAAAACGTAAACATATTGGAAGTGCCTTGACTGAGGTATTGAGGTATTCCTCCAAGGTTAAGGCTGTTACCGATGCAGGCTTAGCTGGGCCTCCTGCAGCAAGCTGTCGAAATCCATGGTCTCGTACTTGCTTTTCACTGGAGCTGGGGAGGATTCCTCCGTGCCGCAATCTGGGAATGGCAGGGACAGAAAGCAGCCAGGTCAGGGAGTGGGGCACCAACGTGCTCGCTGCCTGGTTGGGAGGGAAACTGAGGCACAGCAGGGCACTGCTCATTGCCCTGCTACCGCAGAGCCAGCCTGGATACAGCAGTGATGGCAGAAGGGATTGGGATGGTGTTGTCTCTTCCCCATTGAAGAGAGCTGTGGGCAGAGGGGCTGCAGCAGGGCCCAGCTGGGCCTCATCTTCCAGGTGTGCAAAAATCTACCGGATGCAGCCAAATTTGCAGGTGCTGAAACAGCTTGCAGAGAGGGGAGTGCCTGCCTGCCCTGCTCCCAGGCCCCTGCCAGAAGCTGAACACACAGAGTCCCTGGAAAGCCTGGGGAATTCAGCACATGCCAGAAATAAGGCTGCCTAATTTAACAGCAGCTTAACTTTTTAAGAGTATATTTTTGAATGGCATGGTTGTATTCACCTCTGCCTGTGGGGTCTGCATCTCATGTGTCCTGTACTAGGACAAGCAGGATTTTAGGAACAAGCCAAGCTGCGCAGGAAGGGGGTGACTGGTGGCTTTGCAGAAATCAGCAGGTGAAGAGCAATGAGGGGGCTTCTCCAAGGCTTAGGGGCAGCTCTGGCTTCCCTTCCTACAGCACTGCACAGTCAACACCTTCATCATGGGCTGCTGTCTGCTTCCTAGATTCTCTGTGCCCAAAATGAGAGGCTCTGGGATTTATTTAGATGAGTAACAGGCATCTGTACCCACAACTGAAGTTGGAGGGATCAGAGGAGATATTGCAATGTGATGAAAGATTGGTCAGTGCTTGTGTCAGACTGGGTGTCTGGAGGTAAGACTTGGGGCTTTATTTTCTGGGCCTCAGCCTCTCACTCATGAAGTGGAATCCTAGAACCCTTCAGCCCCTACAGAGGGTACAGAAATAAACATGCAGTGTTGGTGAAACACCTGAAGATCACAGCAAGGAGTGCTGGGCGAAGCCTGGGACACATTTCTCTTGTAGGACTAGCACAGGGTTTGGCTCCTGCCCCTCAGCTCAGGCTGTAGCCCTATACCCCACAGAAGAACAGGGTCCAGTGAGACCCTGGGAGACATGGTCACTGAGTAAAGCATTTGGCCTTGCCAAAGCTCAGACAGCACTGAAAGGGGTAATGTGACCACAGCACATTTCAGTGCCATCAAACGATTCAAAAGTGCATGTGCAGTGTGGTGAGCAAACCACTCAGATCACCTCTTGGGCTAATGAAATGCTGCTGACTGCCTTCTCTAACAACTGGGATGAGAGTTTTCTGCTGGAAAGCCTCCAGGGCTGTGCAGAAGCGCAGCAGAGATGGGCTGTGGTCAGCTGAGACCCAGCAGCCCTGGGGTGTGATGCTACATTTTGCAGCCAACACACTCTGGGGCCTCATGCCAGTTGTTCTTCCCTCTCCCCAGTTTCCCAAGCCACCTGACTGAGCTACGAACAGCTATGTGAGACACAGGAAAGCCAGTGGGCTTTTCCTGCAGGTTGTAAACATGTCTAGGATCCTTGTGTGACCAGGGCTCAGCAGTGCTGTTACATTCTGTGCTGATAAAACTCCTGTTTTCTTACCCAAGTCAGCATATCTGGTCCAGAAGAAGCGCCCAAGGCCACCAGAGCTGAGCTGGAAGGAAGGCTCATTCCTCTTCCTTAGGGAGGGGCCATTCTTCAGAGATAAGGCGGCATGCTCTGAATACCGGTAGGTGATAAAGCCATATTTATCCCCCCTGAGCAACCAGAGAAAGAATTCAAGATGTGATGGGCCCCACAGCCCTTCTGACACAGTTGTGCCCAGCACCGTGCCCCTGTCCCTCCATCCTGCTGTCCCTCCATCCCAGCAGACCTCCCTGCACCCTTGGATCTGTGGACACACCACATCTCCTTGCCAAAAGCACCAAGACCATGGGCTCAGTTGACCGAGGAGGTTGGTCTGGCACCTCCTGGCAGTGCTGATGGGGACTGGGGAGAGGGGCTGCTTATAGCTGCTGGAGCCCTGGACCACAGCTCACTGCCTACCCACCTGTTAGTCCTGGACAGGACCTGACACTCCACGATTTCACCAAACACCTCGAAGCGTTTCTTCAGTTCGCTGGAGCTCATGCTGCTGGAGAGGTTTCTGATGTACACAACTCGGCCTTCCCCCTGGCAAAGCAAGAGAAAGGTTTCAAGCTCCAGGACCTCACACCTCTGTGCTGATGGGCACTAGAAATGTGGGCCTGTTGAGGAGCCCCTGTAAGCCAGCACTGGGATACACTGCTGTGGGCATGGCCTGACATCTCTAGCATCTGGTTGTTTCCACTCCAGCCCCCTCATGGTGTCATCCCCAGGACACCCCTGCTGCAAGGGACAGCCATAGCCAGGCTGGAGCAGCCACACTCCCTTCTTCTCTTTTAAAATTCTGCTGCATTCTTGCAGCTCTTTCAGCTTCTCCTGAAGACATGGGAAATATTCCCAAGAACTGCTAGGGGCAAAATTCAATTGTATTGCAGGGAAAAATGCCAAAGCGGCGTGTGTGTGTGTGTGTCTGTGTGTGTGTCTGTGTGTGAGTGCACTGTGTGTGTGCACAACAGTACGGAGCACCAAGTTACTTTCCCACATCCCCACCCCTGTCCCAGCTCCCACCCGTGGGCACACGCTCATTTCCTGGTGCATGAGGATGCAGCAGGGCCACATCTGTAATGGCTGAGCAGCTTCAGGGATTCCCCAGCTCACCCCCCAAACTGCCGATGCCAAGTGTGCTGAAGCACCAGCGTAGGATGCTCTGGGCATTTCTGTGCCAAGGACTCCATGTGTTGCCAATTGCTGGTGGCTTCCGCTCCAGGTTGGGTTTTTCTCTCCCTCCTCCACCCCCATGTCCTTGTTTAACATTGGCCTCGCACCAAGGGATGCTGAAGCCAGGGCTAATGGGCTCCACTGCTGCTTTTCTGGAGCGGGAGATGAACTGAGTGCTGGGGATTGCTTTGTCCCAGCGTGGGGTCCCCCCACTTACGATGGCCTTTTCCCGTCTCTTCTCCAGCTGGCCCCGGTGCCCGCTCCCGCCCTGACACTGCTCGCCGTTCTCACACCTGGGAAGCGAGGGAGAGGAGATCAGCCCAGGATGGGGGGAGCTGGTGAGGAAAGCTTCAAACATCAGTGATAAGCCGAGGCACGTGGTGGCTGCAGCAGCAGGTGGACACTCCAGAGCACTGGCAGCCAAGGAGAGATGGGGGTCTAGAAACACTGGAAATGACACTGGAAAGCTTTTTCTGATAGATGCCAGGGGGTGTCTCCAGCAGGCACCCCTTCCCAGGCCGGGTTCAGGTCCCTGCCCATGCCCTGTCAGCCACAGAAGCCCTTGGCTGCTTCACCCCACTGCTGCTTCCTCTGGCCATGGCTGATTTTTGCAGCAGTGGCTGATGTAGAACCAATTATTTTTATAGCTTTTCTTTCATTAATTAACATCTTTACTACTTGGGCCAGCAGAGCAGAGAGGACTGGGGCTACCCTGCACCATGGAAAAACACAGCAGGCAAGAATGATCCCAAGGTCCCCGTGCCCCCGTACCTGAAGGTGCGTCTGCTGGCAGGCGATCGCGACCGGCAGCACGAAGACCCCGAGCTGGACCTGCTCCGGGAACAGTAATGCAAACTGGTCCTGGAGAGGGGGTTTCTCCGCAGGCACAGCTTGGTGTTGCCATGCTCCTCCTCCTCCTCCTCCTCTTCCTCCTCATCCTCCTCCTCCACAGGGGAGCCACTCTCACTGCAGCTGTCTTCAAAGACGGTGTCATACTCGGGGGTCTTGCAGAAGACCATGTCCTCGTCATCGAGAGCAGTGTCCAGGAAGCCAAAGTGCTTTGTTAAGCTGGCTCTGATCTCCTGGTCTCTCAGCTGCTTGACCCCATCCTTCCACAGCATCTCGCTGCCCGCCTCCTTGCCGAGGTCCAGTCCCTGGTAGTGGGCAGCTGGGACCTTCCTCTTGTGCTCCGTCTCCACTTGGCTCGTGGGCTCCCACGACTTGAGCACCTTTCTCTGCAGGGCAGCCTCGGGTTTGAGCACCTGGCAGTAGTCGTGGTCCCCGAAGGAGCGGGAGAAGGGCCTCTTGAGCAGGCCCTGCTGCTCAGGGAGCACAGGGCGTGTGGTGGCAGCTCGGCTCAGGTGGGCAAAGAGCTCCGTCCTCTCGGGGTGCTTCCTGGGGGCTTTCCGGGAGGCTGCCACATCCCCTGCACCCCCAGGGCTGGGGGCCATCCCGTCCTCCTTCCCTGGTTCCTGGGGGATGTCTGGCTTGTACAGGTCCTCCTCAGCAGGCTTGTATGGCGGAGTGGTGGGTGGTGTGAGACCTGGACCCCCCCAAACAAAGGGCAGGAGTCAGCTCTGCCCCTGCCATCCTGCCCTGTCCCACCCCAGTGCCTGGGCTGCACCAGGTATTGCAGGGGAGGAGACTGCTCAGCCCCACAGCCTCATCCATCCGGTGGCACTTGGGGAAAAAGAAGGATGCCTGATCCCAGCAGGGACCAGAGGACTCTCCCTTCCGTCCTGGCTCCTTCAGGGGACTTCTGAACAGCTCCCACCACCCCAAACACATCCCCCTGAAGTGACCGTAGTGCTCAGATGTGGAGGGGAGTCTCCTGTGTTCATAGTGTGAAGAGAGCTCAGTGTGCTCCCTTGGCTGGGTAGGCTGGAACTGATGACTCCAGACTGAATTTAGGGTAAATCTGTCCTCTCCTATGGAGGAATTTTGCAAAACCCAAAACTTAAAAGCCTGTCCTACCTGCTGTCCCACACAGCTCCACAGTCAGCATTGACTCAAAGTTTCTCTTCCCAAAGGCTGGGTCACTGGAGAAGAGCAGAAAATCAGGAGGGAGGAAGTGTTTAGGTGAACCACAGTCCCAAAACCTGAAAGGAAGCTGAGAAAATGCTGCCTACAAGTGAGCCCTCCCACTATGGCTAGTGCCTGACAGAGGGGTGTGAGGGCAGTGGGCTGAGCAGTGTGCCCTTCCCATCCCAGCGAGTGCTCTGGGGCACACACAGAAATGCCCTGCCCTCAGGATGAGGCTATCCTGGCTCCTTGCACCCTAGTGATGGCTGTGGCTCCCCACAGCCTTGTGCCCAGCTGGGTGGCTCAGTCTCCTCTGCAAAAGCAGCTTTGTGTGCTTGCAGCAGAGGCTTGGCCCAGCTACACAAACCAAGGTGGTTTCCAGCCCCAGCACAGTTCCTTCAACCCCGTCTGCACTTACGTCTGTGCCAAGGACAGCGTGAGACATCTGGGTGTTTCTGAAAGGCAGGAGAGAAGCCGGTTACCAGTGGAATTGTACTCCCTGCAGCGCCCGAGGTCTGGCAGGGGCTGGGCTTTGCCCCCCTGAAGGAGAGGGCTCATGCTGCCAGGGCTGAGCCATTCATGCTCATAATGAACCCCAGAGCCCAGGCACAGTGTGAGCCCATGGGCAAGAGGGACCTGGAGGGATGGGGCAACCTGGTCCATGCTGGGTGAGCCCTACATCAGCTTCTCTCAATATAAGGATGGAGAAACGGGAGTAGAAGGCCCCCATGGATTGAAACAGCACCCCAAAATCAGAACAGGCCCCCAGCTCCCCATGCATGGGACCCCAAACCAGCCAGCACACGGGGCTGTACTTGGGGCTGCTCACAGCTTTACTGCCAGCTGAGTGTCCAGCGCCTGGCCAGTATTGCTTGGCCACAGCAGGGATGGCACAGGCAGCATGGATGTACAAGGGAGGGCTGAGCAGAGTGACAGCCCACGGCCTCCTCACCTGTTTGCTCCAGGAGGGCACAGCGCCGGCTCTCAGCCCCGTTTCCCACCTCACCATCCACTGGGGAACCCAGGGAGAGGGGCTGGGGCTCCGCCGATGCTGCTGTGCCCCCCACCTCCACTTCAGCCGCAGGCTCTTCGGCAGAGAATCCCTCCAGCACTGGGCATGGTGCAGCCTCTCTGCAGGCCAGGGGCACGGAGGGCTCGGGGGGTGGCCCATCAAGGAAGGATAGCCAGTGCCCGAGCTCGGGGTTGAGTCTCTTGGACCGGCGGACGGCGTAAACAGTGTTGTCCTGCTTGCGGGCCACCTTCCCCACTGCTGTGCCTGAGGTCCCCTCTTGCTTCCCACCATTGTCCTCATGGCCACTCAGCTCCTGCAGTGCCTCTGCCTCAGCTCCAGGGCTCTGCCGTGGCTCAGCCTTCTCTGGTGCTGTTTTCACTCTGGAGGTGCAAGTCCCACTGGCATCCTCCCCATCGCGGGCTGGCGGCACAGGGGAGCAGGAGCCAGGCGGCCGTGCCAGGGCAGCGTACACGGGCTTGCCCAGGCGGTATGGCTTGCTCACGTCACACAGCAGGTCCCGCGCCAGCAGCTCCTTCAGGATGGAGAAGGATGCTCCGGGCTTCTTGCAGCCCCCTGCTGCCTGCCAGGCACAGCCCGGCCGGCTCTGGGCACTGCCAGGGGGGCCCGGCTGTGCAGGACAGTCCGGTTTGGCTCTCTTGAAGGGGCTGCTGCAGGGCTGGGGCTTGGTGTCAGCGGGGTCACGGGTGGGCAGCTTCCGCGGCGGCAGGCAGTAGGTGTGCATGTAGCGGATGAGCTCCACCACGGAGTGCATCTCCCCCTCACAGGACAACTGGCTGCCAGAGCCATCCTCTGCTGAGGAGAGCGGCGTCACCGAGTCACCAGAGCTCAGTGAGTCCTCGCTGGAGTCACTGTCGTCCTCGTGATGGGCGCAGTCGCCCGGGGATGGGTGGTGGCCACCACTGGAGCACTCCTCGGGTGCCTGGGGGGCTTTGGTCTGGGAGCAGGGGGTGGTGGAGGTGAGGTGCCTGTGCAGTTCAGTGCAGCTGCGGCTCTGTGCCTGCGGGACACTCGCCCTCCTGTCCCGGGGACCCTCCACCTTTGGAGAAGAGAGAGGAGAAAATCAGACACAAGTACCTGGCATGGGGGGAGAAGCCCTCCATGTTGACAGCGCCAACCCACATCCTCAAACCCCCCAGTTCTGCCTTAGAAACACCCCAACCTGTGTGGAGGTCAGCCCCCTGCCCCAAGCGCCGCACACAATGATGCTTCTTCTTCCAGGGAGGGATCTGCTGCTCTTCCCAGGCAATCTAATTTGCCAGGCCTGATGCACTGCACAATAACCATCAGCAAAGTAGAAAAATCTTTGGTGGCAACTTCTGCTGGGTTTCAGATCAGCTTAAGTGAGGGGTGGGTTCTGCAGCATGGTATGCAGCTCTCCTTGGTGATGGCCCCTGGCTTGGGCTGAGAGTCAGCAGAGAGGGGGACAAGGGAGCACATGGGGCTTTCACAAATGGGCACCCAGGGAAGCTGGGAGAGGCTGAACCACCCGGGGTCCAAATGAGATCAAGGCATTTCTCAGCCCAACGCAGAGAGGGATGGGAACGCCACGTGTAGGAATAGGTATCCCCTTTTTGGAAGAATTTGTAACGAGAAGGTTAAAGCTTAATTAACTTGTTTCTTAAGGAGACCTTCTGCCTAAGAACAAACATTTTTTCAAGGATGGGGGAAGTGTTTCTTTCCCTCCTGTGTCCCTCTTGTGTCTCTCTGGTCTGAGGAGAGATAAACTCTCAGGATGTTACAGGCTGCGCCTGTCTTGAGGCTGGGAGAGGGAGGCCAGAGAAGATAAGAAACCTGGAAAAGATCTGGAGGAGTTACTTTCTCAGGCCCAGCGCTCTCACTGCTGGTGCAGAATTTTTCTTCGTAAGTTTTCAGTGTCTTTGCCCCCAAAATAAACATTTTTGAATCCTTTCCACTGCCTTGGCGTTTTTGGGGAAAATACCTGTGAATACCTTACTTTACACCACAGGTGATGGCCTCTGCCCGTCCCCAGCCCCTTGCCCAGCTCAGAGGCTGCCCATGCTCCCTGACACCATCCTTCAGTGCCTTTCTTAGCTCCCAAGAGGTGGGCAGTGCACGGGCTCGAGCTCTGCCCATGAGGAAGTACCTTCGTGCAGGGCCGTGCTGGTCGGGATTTTGGGGTCCCCGGGCGCCGGGCGGTCCCGTCCCGCTGAGCCTCACAGCTCGGAGGCACATGCGATGGAGAGAGGAGCAACTTCTTCAGCTGCAAAGAGAAGTGGCAAGAAAAAGAGTCGGCATGGCAGCGAGGGCAAGAGAAAGCGCCAGCAGGGCCGCAGCCCTTGGCTCACGCGTGCCCAAAAATGGGGCAATAAAAATCTAAGGCAGGGAGGAATTTCCCACCCCACCATGTCTGTGGAGGCAGGTGCCTGGCCATGTGCAGCCCTGAGGGGGTCAGGGCTGTCTCCACAGCACTCACCCATGTCCCCAGGGACCCTCAAGCAGGTCGGGGCAGTGCAGACGTGAGAGACTTTACTTCCCAGGGGCAACCCCACTCCTGTCAGATACACAGGAGCTGCCGTGGCATCCAAACGTCTTACTCCAACAATTCTGCCCTTAGGTGACAGAGGCTTTGTGCTGATGTGAGTGACAGGTTTGGACAACTCACTTGTGCCCCCGTGCAAGGCTCATTTAGCCAAAACATCCAGAGAGGGCCTGGACTCATTAATGAGCTTTCAAGGCATTTTGCAGATGCAAACCCCTGTGGGACCTGTCGAGGATCTCCCCAAAGCCCATGGGTGGTGGGAGTGGGGTTTTCCCTGGGTCACCCACAGAGCCATCTCTTCTGATGGCAAGGTCAGCATAACATTTTTCTTCTACTCAAACCCAGTTTTGCTCAGGGGGAGGAAAAACACCAACCCCACACCCAGCAACAACATTTCATATTCCACCCATGTCGCGCTAACAACCGAAGGCGACAACAGCTCAACAGCAAGACGACTGCGTAGGCACTGTGGGACTGCACGGAGGAGACAGATCTGGGGCTCCCGTGCTGGTCGGTGGGCACAGAGCCCTGGGGGGGTACAGGGGTGATAGAAACAGGGGGTGCCCAGGTCAGGGTCTGCCAGGAAATGTCAACCGGGGCACCCACAGCTTTAGGTGTGCAGCTCCTGTTGGTGGAAGCAACCAGCACCCTTTCCCCCCCACCCCTGCAACGTATACATCCTATATATACACAGACATATCGTGTGTGATATATACCCCTGCGTAGGGGCGTGGGCGGTGGAAATGCACGCTGTCACCACTGGATGTCACTCCTCCCCTTTTGGGTTTTTGGGGAGACCCCGGGACTAGGCTGAGGGGTCCCTGAGGGGGACTGTGAGCCTCAGGACGGAGCAGGCTGGGTACCATGTTCCAGAGGATCTCCTCGGGATGGCAGTAAATGCTCCCAGTTAGTCCTGGGCAGGATGGGGAGCGGGGCTGGAGCCCCAATATGGCAGAGAACCAAGAGGGATACTCCAGTCACCAAATCTGTAGGGACTGCAGGCCACACAGACCCTGAGGGGTTTTGGTGGAAGGGACAGGGAGGGTCAAACCCTCCCACTGAAAGCTGAGGGCACAGGATGACATACGGGCCAAGCTCCTGTGTCCCTCTTGCGAGAGCAGCAGGGAGCTCAGCCCGGGGCAGAGGTGGGTGGGAACAGCCACTGTTGCCCATGGACACAGGGCTGGGATGAGCCAGAGAGACCCCCAGGCAGCCCCACATCTGCATGTCCGATTAAAAGCAAGTGTGGGTCCTGCCAAAGCAGCCCCCACCCCTTTGACACCCACCCCCACCCCGTTCATATACATATTTGTATACACACAGCTTGTTCCCGTGAGGATGGTGATGGAGGTGACAGCAATGATGCAGAACATGTATACGTATACAATACAAGTATATGCTTTGGTATTGACGGTTAAAGAGAGTTTTAAGCCTAGAATGAAAAAATTCAGACCTTTGCTTCCTATCATACCCATGCAGCCGGCTTATCAGGGGCTCATCCAAATCCACCTTAAACAGTAGGAAGTGGGTTCTTACTAGAGACAGCTCATCAAACTCGGGGGCCGGGGACGGCCCCCCCGTGACCGGGGCGGTGGGTTTGGGGGAGGGGGCAGGTGAGGTGTAGGCATGGTTGAGCGTGTCCCCCTCTTCCATAGTTCGGAAGGCAGCCAGGCCCATGTCATCTCCCTGTATATCATCCAATGTCTCCGTGAGGGCTGCCAGCAGCGCTTCGTTCTCGCTGTCTATTATCTGAAATGAGCAGGCAGAGAAGAGAGGGGGAGTTAGGCTGGGCAGAGGGTCTGTGAGATGCTGGGTGGGGGAAGAGGGGCCAGCAGTGCAACAGCAGCTCTCACTGAGCAGCTCCCACTTCCCAGTGACCCCACAGGGCAACCTTTGAGAGCTCTTCCCCAGCACACCACCTGGATGGGATGAGGAGGAGAGACCCAACTGGAAAAGGAGCATCAATCTGTCCACCTGCACCTCTAACAGAAAATAATGAATCAGAGCATCTTCTCTCCCAACAGCTGTCTCCCCCCCACCATCATGCAAACAGCAGAAGATAAAAGATCTGTGATTAAAAGGCTCCTTGCCCAAATCCTCCTGACTCCGGGCTGCAAGTGCCCCAGCTGGGATGGGAGCCCAGGGAGGGGGCAGGCACAGCCCCCTGCCCTCCACGGGCTGGGGAGGCCTGAGAGGTCATGGCTGGTTAATCTGCAGCTCTCCTGACAGGGAAGACAGAGAAAATGTGAGGAGCTGGGAGCTCAGCCCAGGGCTGCCCAGTGGACAAGAGGGCACAGCCCGTTGGGAGGGCACAGGGGAAGCTCAGCCTGGGCTGCACTGCTGGCCAAACACCATAGCTTGTAACAACAACCAGTATGAGTTTTGTTTTCACTAAAAGCCCCTAAACTCAGGCACCTCTAGCTCGACAGGGATTCTAAGCCCTCACACTTAAAGCTGGCTGCACCCAGTGCTCTGCAAGGGACTGCGTCCACGGAGCACAGCCCTCAGAGTGACAGGCCTTGCATTACAGCTCCCCTGACCTATTCTTTGGGTGAACAGCATGATGTGGGGGATGTTGATGGGAGATTTGTGAGTGTCTGTGGCTGCACTGGGCCAGTCAGGACCAGGGGTTGCTCCTGCCTCCTCCCTTCTTGCTGCCCTGACCCGACCTCTTGGGTCCCTCCCTCTTTCCATCTAGGCTTTGGCTTGGCTGATGCACCTCCATTCTTCCCAGTGCCCTCCCAGCCCCACGAATTCCCCTCCAATCTGGCAGTACACTGCAGAAGCCCAAGAGAGGACAGAGAAGCTGAGGAATGGCTGGAGTGAGTCAGGAGTTCCTTCTTTTTGGTCCTCCTCCATCACATTCTGAATGTAAACCATGTCCAAGAAGCAGGCTACCATCAGTGATAAAATTAGCACGAGGGTAAATTCAGGCTCGCAAGCAGGACTGTTGCCTGCACACACCCTCCTGTATTTCTCTCATCTTGTTTGAAAATTAAATATCTTTTGTTCCCTGCCCTAACCTTGCTCTCAGTTACTAGAGCAGGCTCGAGGGAAAGGCAGCAGGATGCTCCATTTTTGGCTCCGTTTCTTTTCCTCCTGTTATTGGCACGAGAGCACTGTGCATATAAGTTCAGTGGGATACATTTCATCATACTCCACTGCTCCTAATGGGCCTGTCTTTTGCATTTCTTTTCTGTTTATCTTTTCCCCAGGAAGTTCAGCGGAAAATATGCATCTCGTGATGAAGGTCCCTCAGCTGGACTGGACCATTTTCAAGCACAGCATCAGCACAGCATAAAAGCCACAGGGTTGTTATTACGGCCAGGTTAGAAAATATTGGGGCTTTTTGGTTTTTTTTCCCCTTGTTTAAATATAAATCCTGCTCCCTCCCAAAATGTAACCCAGAGTTGGTTACTAGTTGACACTAGTGGGTCACAACCTCCTCGTCCGAGGGGTAAGGGCCTGGGTGCTGCTCAGGAGGGCAGAGAAACTCCAGCCCCCAAGGATAGGCACATCCAGGGCATGGCATGAGCTTTAGGAAATGTGATAAAGGCAAAGTGCCCGATCCCCAGGCAGCTTCTGCACCTCCCTGTCTCCAAACGTGCCTCTGCTGTGCTCACAGCCCTGCCCTGGCCTCACAGCTCCACGAGATGCTCAGCTCTTCTCCAAGGAGAGACAGGAACAGTGCTGAGGGTTATGGACCAGCCCTGCCTGTGCCCAGGAGCACCCTCTGTCCCAGCACCCCTTTTCACTGTGCAGTCCATGCTGGCACATGGATCCATCTCAGCACAAAGCCAAGCACAGAAACCAGCCACCTCTGCCAAAAGGACCCGAGACCCAAACAGAGGGAGCTGCCAAAACTGGGAAGCCAGCGTGGGTGGGGCTGCTTTCTGCTCCTGAGAAAGGAATAATCCTGCCCCATACCACAGCACTGAGACCCCCGCACTGCCGCCCTGGCACATCCTGCCATTCCAGGAATCGAACAGGATGCACTGCACCCCGGCTGTAATTCCCTGTGAATAATACACCACAGGAGGGCTGGCTCAGCAGCCTCCTCTGCTCCTCCACCTCCTCATTAGCCTTACTCCGCTTGCCCCATTTAGAGCCAGTGCACAAATTAATGGAGCACTAATCAGCTGGGGAGGAGATATTAATAGTTGTGCGTGTTCCCTCCTCCCTCCCTCCTCCCCCTGCCTCCATCCTCGCGTGCCCTGTGCCAGGAGGATGGGGGTACCTGGAAGAGCTCGGAGTCATCAGTGCTGTACTGGCTGGAGTCTGTCTCCGAGTGCTCCCCGCACCACTGCAGCTCGCTGAAGCAGCTGGCCGAGTCGAAGTCGCTGGCATCCAGCTGAGACAGATCGATCTCTGGGAAGTCAGAGTAGAGGTGCTCCTCGCCAGACACCTCGTACTGCACAGAGAAGAGAAAGGGGGTGAGCCCACTGCTGTGCCAGGGGAACAAGAAGCAAGGGGCAGCAGCATCCACCTGCAGAGACGGACGGTCTCCTGGTGCGCTCCCACCTCCGCTCAGGCCCGTTTCTCAGCCCCACTTTCCACATGGCTCCAGGAGCAATTGCATGGCAGTGTGGAGCATGGTGAGCAACTCTTCACTGCACACCTGCCAGATTGGTTTGCACAGCCTGACACTGGCACTGCTGGTTACTGAGAACACCCCCACAACTTCCATCAAACCCCCTCTTGTGTCCCAGTTGTGGCAGGAGTCAGAACAGCAGCATCTGCATTCAAAGAGCCTCATCTCCTGCAGTGAGCAAACGCTCGGGGCAGAGCACAGCCACCCAAGCTGTAGAAAAGCAGCTGCTGGAGCTCTTAGGGGCCATTCCTGCCTTTGGTGCCACCTAAGGGTGACATCCAGGTTATCTAGCTGGAAGTCAAGGCAAGAGTCTTGCGTGCACATGGGACAGCAACTCCTGTGATTGGCCTCACACCTGGTCCCTACCCTGTTCCCATCCCTGCCACATGGCACTGAACCACTCAGGGACAGTCACCCTGGGGAAGGAGCACCACCAGTGCAATCCAGACCCCGCTCCCTGCGTTGTACAGGATGAGAAAACAGCATGGAAATGAATGGATGTCCGGGTGCACACAGGGTGATGCGAGCTCTAGGAACCCAGCTAAAAATCTCCATTCAACTACAGAAAGGAGCTGGCACCTGCCCTGCTTCAGCCTGGCTTCCAGCCACTGCCCTCCCACAAAACCCCACGGCTGCACCCAGCACCCCCGGAGTGAGGGCTGGCACTGGCACCCACTGCCTGTGCCGGCATTTGGACGGTGCCTGGTTTTGTGCCTATGTCCAGGTTCAACCACACAGGGGAAAGGTCTGGTGCGACTCCTCCCAGCATTGGCTGCCCAGGGGGAGTTTTCTGGCAGTGAGGGAAGCAAGTTTATTTACAGAGCAAATGGATTTTGGAGCAGGCAAACATCTGAGCATGTGAGCGAGGCTGTATGGGCAGGGGAATGCAGGGGCTCCTCCTCCTGAAGCTCCCTGGAAGGGTCTCCTCCTTCACTCAACAGGAAGGAAAAGGGATTTCAAACACAGCTGGAGGAATGGAAAATACAGCTTTTCTCTCTCTTTTTTTTTTTTTGGTCAAATTGGGATAATCTGGGATTATTGATTGTGTTCCCACAGGCTGAGAAGCCTGTCTACTGTGCTCCCCACTGTGTTTAGGGCACCCCAAAGGGCACTCCCATGCACACACTCACTCCCATTTTACATTTCTCACCTGCCTTCCGCCCCAACCAGTACCAGGGGAGGTGGGAGACAGGGAAAGCACGGGCAAGGACAGGGGGGAGAGCATTTTCATGGCCCAGTGGTGAGCCAGTGCCATGTCACGGCAGCTGGGGCTGCTGATACTGCCCCAGCCCAAGCTCTGCAAGGGCCTGGGAGCTGCCCCATGGTGGGGGATGCTCTCCCCAGTATCCTCCCTTCATCCTGCTGCTGGAGAGATGTGGATCAGGTAGATTACGCAAGTGTAGTGCCACAAAGTATATCAGGCACCCCTGAGTGGCTCCAGGATCTGATACTCCTCACAGCCCCCCAAGGCTGGGGCTTTCCTAACCTGCCCTGCAAAAATCTTTGGTCCCTATTCTCATCCCTGCCAGCTCTGGGGGACACAGATGCGACCTTTCCCCTTGTTCTCCTTCCTCCTCTGCTCAGGTGCAGCCTGGACTGCTCTGGGATCAGATGTCCTTTGGCCTTTCAGGTGTGTCCCTTACCTGCTGTGGCCCGTCCCTGCCTTCCTCCCTCTGCTCTAGCACCTGCTCCAAAAAAAGTCTTGCAACAACTTTGGCTCCCCCTTCTCCCCAAATCTTCCCATGGGAACACAGGCAAAGGCTTTTATTTTTAGAAAAGCCATACATACATATATATACGTGTGTCTCTGTGTGTGCGTGTGTGCGTTCAATTAAAAATAGCAGAGCAGTCAAATTCTCCTGCTCCTTTTGATATGCCACAAGGGAAAAGATCCTGGTGCTGAGATCACAAGGAGCAGCTGACACCAGTGCTCGGGATGTCTTTTGATCAACTCCACAGATGTGACATGTCCCCATTGGCAACAGGGCTGGGTAAAAATAAACTCCTGCAATCTAATGTTGCTGAGCTGCCCTCTCTGGGCACCACAGGGGCAGGATTGCCCCGGCACTGCCACTCTGTGGATGCTCCCAGCTAGCACAGGTCAGGAATGCCTAAAAACTCAGCTTGGCCTGTGATGAGCCCCCTCCTCAAAAAAAACCATGGGGAGAGCATTTGCCCAGTGCGATCACTCACATGAGTACATGGATGGGCACCCCGGCACATGGTCACAGCTCCAGCCAGCCCCCTCTGCTAGACAGTGCCATTTAACCCACCCAGCCACCAAGGACCTGAATCTCCAGAGGGAATACGTCACTCTGAGCTTGGAATCCATCACTCCAAGCACCGCTTGCCCAGCACAGAGCGCTGAGAGTGAAGTCCCTCTGGGCTGGCCACGGGGGGTGGGGGAGGACCCAGCCCCCCACCCGGAGTTGGGGGTGGCAGCAGCAGTGGGGAGGCTGCCTGCGGGCACAGGACCTCATCTGCTCTGACTTTCCCTTTTCCCACCCTTTGCATTTCCTGCTGCCTTGGGAGAGGAGTGAACTTTTGTTCTAATTTTACTCGGGAGTTTGTAGGAAGATCAGCCATGGGTTCTTGGTGTGCAGCCAGCAAACACCCATGGAGACATGCTCAAAAATTTGGAGGCATCCTCCAGCCCAGACACCTGGCCTGTGTGTGCTGCAGCAAGGCTGTGACCAGAAAGCTGCCGGCAGCTCACTGTGACGTGTCTGATGAATCCCTGCTCCGGGGGGGAGAGATGCCCTACACAGGTGCCCCCATGCCACACACCTCCATCCTTTGAGGGAGCAGGAGCCCAACCCTGGGCATCCTCTCTGGAAGCAATGCTGTGCTGGCAGTTGCACCTGGCAGCCAAAGCTGGAAGGTGAAGGACATTTGAGGAACAGCCTCCATTCAGAGACATCCTCCTCTGCTTTCCTTAAAGTATGAACCAACTCCGACCTCAGCCCCAACTGAGATGCATTTGCAATTCTAGGACAGAGAGGCAGCTGATACTCGCTCACATGTTGCACAGAGCTTCCCTCTGCAGAGGCTTTGCTTGACAGAGCAGCAACACTTATTTATCTGCTACTGAGCTTGGATAGTCCTGCCTGTTGTGAGGGGTTTGTCACTCCAATTGTGGGAGAAGGGGTTCCCCAGGGACCCTCACACAGAGGGTCTGTGCTCACTTTGCGCCCCTGCAGAGGCTGCTGGACCTGGCAGCAGCTACGCTGTGCATGCCCAGGACAACCAGGTGAGCAGGAGGGCTCCGTGCCACTATGGCTGTGCCACCCTACTGCCAGGCCCCTGTCCATGCTCACCACTGGCAGCAGTGAGAAAGCACAAGGGACATCTCCAAACTGGCAGACAAGGACATCCAGAGGTCACTCCTGTCCCCGGGAGCCTCAACTGCACCTAAATGCTCCCAGATAAAGCGCCAGTGGGGCCTCTCCCTGAGCACTGTGGGTGAGGAGGGGCTGGCTCCCCCCAGCCTGTGTTCCATCTTCTCCTGGAAACCCTGTGTGAGCAAATCAGCCTGAGAGTTTCTGGTGTCTCCTTGGTCATCCCCAGGAGGGAATGGAAGAACTCCCAGCTGCTCTGACTCTCCGCCCCTTTGCAAAGCCCCCAGTTTTTGTCCTTCCCGGGGCAGTGGCAAGGCAAGGCAGGACAAGGAGCTGGCCCGGGGGTTAGCTCCATCTCCCTGCCTGACTCTGAGGGTGGTCAGCGTGGGCCACTGTCTCTAATGTCCCCAGCAGCTCTGGTACGTGGGCAGTCCCTGGCTGGAGGCACATCCAAGGATGCCCCATTGAGCACAGCTCAGTGCTGGCTCCTGATGCTGTGGGGACAGCAGGTGGGGCATTTCCCTTTCAGTTCTTCCCTCTGTTTTGGAGCAGTGTTAATTCTGGTGTGGGAGCATGTGAGGTCTTATCGCTGCAGAGACATGAAGCTCCTCTCCAAGCCCAACTCTAATTCAAATATTGGATTAATGAGACAGAGAATGTTTTCCTCTTTTTCAGTGTCAACTTGGGCTGCTCAAACTAAATCCCCCAGTCAGAAGGACTGGAGAGGCTGGCTGGGGATGGGCTGCTGGCTCCCAGGAGCAGCCATATCCTTGAGCCCACGGAGAGCAGGAACCACAGCCCTGCTGCCAGGCAAGCATGAGAGCTCAGCTCATTGTCTGCTGTGCTTAACTGGCTCAGGGAGCTGGGGACAGGGCAGTGACCGTGACAAAGAGACTTGCAGGTCCTCTCCTCTGTCACACCCTGACAACAACACCAGTAGAAATTTCCCTTATCTGCAAAACACTTGGGTCCAATCCCTTGAAGTTGTGTCCAAGTATTTTGGAGTGAGCTCTGAGCACACTGTGATGGCACACACACTGTGCTCATGCTTAGTCAGGCTGCAAAAGTTTCAGCCTCTGAAGTCTGCCGGCGTGAAAGTGCTGCTGGACACAAGTAGCACCTTCGCGGGATCCTAATCCTGCCTAAGCCTGGGAGGGCAGCTCTGCATTGCTGCCTGCAGACACAGCCCCAGGATGCTTTGCAATTGCCTTGTCATTCACGTGCCACTTTGCTGTATGGAAAAAAAGGAAAGAAAGTGGCAGCTCCTCGGAGGGGCCAAAGGAACCAGCCAGAAACAGGCAGCCCACCTCCTCCTGAGGAGCACAGCACTGACTCAGCCGCACACGGAGCCTCCTCCCTCCCCACAGCCAAGAGCCTACTCAAAGCATTAAGAGATAAATATACATCCACACGTGCTGGAGACAGAGCCCCAAATTAGCCAGTAGCATTTAGGCTGGGACCCAAACGAGCAGAAGGTGAGAAATGCCGAGAACATGAAGTGCCAGCTCCCGCCAGCCCTCCCTCAGCCCCACTGGCAGTGTCGGATCCCAGCGCCCGGACGGGGAGTTTCTCCCTCCTTGCCCTCACCCCAGGCTTGGCTCTAAAAAGGAAAGAAAATCCTTGGGCAGGG